CAAGTACAAAAAATAAAAATGAAAAAAAATCCAGTGTTCATCAGTAAAAGCTATGTTGCATTATTCCTAAACAGTATTTGCTAACATGAAAACATGCCAAGGTGCAGCTGTAGACATCACGTCATGATTCACACAGCAGTGTGTTCAGTGGGTTAGACATGTAGATATGTTTATGTGTTGCAAATTTACATACAGGAAGGATTTGCGTTTTTGCCGAGCGTGTGTAAATCCGTCAGTAAAAAGTCTTTAGGTGAAGAAGCTATCTTTCTTTATAATGCTTATTATGATGGTGCTGGATTAAGACTTTTGCTTCTTGCTCACTTGAGCAACATGACACACAGCTCACCTGCTTTTTCGTGCTCAGTGATGACTCAAGCCAGTGTGCAATAGACCCCACAAACAACTGTCATGCACATGCTGGCCTGGACAATAATTACCCTGCACACAACCTGCCATTAGGTCCCCTCTATTTTTAGATTACTGTATAACCAGCTATATGGATTTAAAGCTGCTTAGCCAGATAATAATACCTCCGAAGCTACAAATTAGTGTCAGTTATGAGCTGGAGAAGGAGGAGGAGGAAGAGGCTGAGCTGCTGTATTGTATTGTCTGCTACTATGAGGCACGACAATATGTCGAGACAGCAAATCGAGAGGCCGGGGGCGAAAACAGTAATTTCTTTGTCTGGAATTAAATGCAGTGCTTTAATGAGCTTTTATTAATATACTCTTTGAGGATCGTATTTCTGCCTGCACTGGTCCCTGGGCGATTAAGTACAGCTACAGACCCATGAAAAGTGTTTGTGCTGTGAGGAGAAGCTCTAATCAGGAAATGCCAGAACAGCACAAGGCAGTCGCCACAGGACTAGCTTAGAATTTACTAACCGAGACCGGATGCTTGTGTTTTAAAGCCTCATTTCTAACAAATGAATTTGGAAAACCTAGTCTGAAATTACCACGGTTCCCCCCCCCCAAACCACCCCCTGTTGTCTGCAAACAGCTCAGGTCAAATTCAATTTAATTATATTACTATGAATTATAGTTTAATTAGTTATTAATGACTAGAGCTACTCTGGCAGTTGTTGAGTTTTAAAATTCATAGAAGTATAAATAATATATAAACACAAGAATCAATTAAATTAAATGAAAAGGACTTATTTAATTCTGTTATCTTTCTTTCTTCCTTTGTTTTCATTCATTTGAAGAATTTAAATAATTTATGTAGCTTATGTTCCATGTGAGCTTCCATGTTTCCAAATATGTTTATTTGGAAACTATTTAAACTATTTTATGATCACTCTCTTGCCTCTAGAAACATTTTTTTGTTATGGCTTTAATAGGTGGCATGATTTGAAACAGTCGGCCCTCACGACAAGTACTACAGTACACAATTGACCAGCATAGTGCCTTAAAACTATAATGACCTATTTGTAAGTTTTATTTTATGCACCTACCCCTATTTGGTGTTATGTCGAGACTGCGTTTTCTGAACTGACTCACATTTTAGAATCATTCATTTACTAAACCCTCTCTGCAAATGAGCATTAATGTCCTCAGCATTAATGTCCTCAAGCCTAAGCAGAGGTTATTCAGCAGCCTGAGAGCTGTAAATTGTGTTCATACCTGTGACCTAACCTAATCAGTAATCATCCAAACTCAGTTTATCACAGATGATTGGTGATTGGAATGAAAAGGGAGGAGAGGAGCAGTGCTCAGTATCTCATCACAGTGAGCTATAATTTACTGATCCATCAAGCCAGTCCATTTTGGATCGATGATTAATGTATTGAAGATGAGAAGTCAGTTATCTCGGCAGGACATTTATTCTGCACTAAATGTACTTTTTACATTACTTATTTTTACATAAAGTACACGATGCTTATTTGCACATCTCTTTTTCCGTTTTGTATCATTTCCTTCTACATGAGCTCTTGGGTGAGTCTGTGGAGGCACACTATTATAGGCTAAGCCCTTTTTTCTGGTTCATAAGAAAAACAAATGGAAATTAAATGTTATTTTCTCAGAGTCGCATGGCACAGTGACTCCCACAGGACTCTTTCTTTTGTGTCTTGTGAGTGATTCATTACTTCAGAACCTATTTTCAACAGAGATCAGCATTGTGAAACTGGCTCTTTGGAACAGACGTCATAACTAAATACATTTTTTCACAGACGAGACATCCTTAACCAGTTCAGAAATGAATGAGAAAATGTCTTTAATTTCCTCGCCAACCTACCGATGAGCCGATTTCAAACCAAGGACAGAGTCAAGGACACATCATGGTGGAAAAGAAAGGAAGAGCCTGGGTGAGAGAAGGGACAGTGTTGTGTCTAGGCTTCTCATATTTACATACAGTCTTATTTCTCCCACCCCTGCTGAGTCAGTGATGCACTGTGGCACATGGGAGGGCCGGATATGTAATCAGCACTTTCCTGTTACGTTGAGAGAACACCAGAAAGAGGGTTTAGATGTTTCTGTAAGCGCAATCCATTTGCACTGTATATCTTGTTGTAAAGAGTATAAGGCAGAAGTCATATTTTTAAAGGACTGCTGTGGCCACTGATTCCAACTGTTTAATCAGTTCTCTCCATCTTCACTCCATTATCAGGTGTAGCTGCTAATAGGCTGAAATAAAGGCCTGCAGGTCTTTTAAAGGTAACATTGGAGTCCCCTAACCTACGACTTTACGTGGTTTTTTGGCTGTAGATATAGAGCAGTTTTTCTTGCAGTCTTTTGTTCTTTTGTGGTTTAGTTACATAGGTATTCATTTAGTTATTTAGTTAATTTGTTCTTATATTTTTGTTGCTTTTTTTAGATATGTTCTTTTGTTTTCTTTCTCTGAATTGTTCTTTCTTTCTTTCTTTCACATTAAAAACAGTTTTGACATTTTTTTTGACCCCAGACAAGGTCAGGATTATCACACATTCCTATTATTATAGGGAAATTTGGACCCCATTGAAAGATAACATGGGTATGCGCACACACACACAAATAATCATACACCCCCCTCAGGAAACAGATGTAGTTAGAAACAAAAATGAGCTGATGGTAGTGACCAGACTGTAGCTGTTCCTTCCTCTTTCCTTCTCTCCCTCTATCTCTCTTCCTGTTCCTGTCCTCGCTATCTCATCCATGTAATGTGCATCGCAATGGTGTCATTTTCTCCACGGTGCAATCTCAGAGCCGTCTGATGTGCAAGATTCGCACAGCTTTTCTCGGTCATTTAGTTGAGTTGTATAGCCTCAGACACTTTGGATCTTCTGACCCATTCGATGTCAGCTACTGTCTCCTCTATTCACTTCTAATCATTTGAAATCCAGAGTTCCTGAGGAATCAGACGTTATTCCTTGAATATACAGTTGGGGTGATTCTGTTGGATGATTGGAATGAATCTTGTCCATGTAATAAACCTGCTGTAATAGTCTAAAATGATTAGATATCACAGTTTTCAGCTGCTTTTAAGTGGCTCATGTTGAGCTCTGCAGTTTTGTAGAAATGCTCCCCTGCAGAGCTGGAGCTGGTCTGAGAAAGATGGGTCAGTCTGGCACAGCAGTAATGAACAGCTGAGGCTGAGCTCACTGTGCTATCACCTATCATCAGTGCACTATTACTCTTCATTACTTGTGCCGTATGATTACGGAACCACAGTGGCGTGATGGTGGCTTTATTCCCCTGCTGTTGCTGTTGATGTGGAGTTTTCATCTTTCTCAGTGCGTGAATAGGCTGTTCTGTAAACTCTTTGGCTTCTATAGCAACCTTCAAAGATAAAAGAGTTTAAATTAGTCTCCCATGAGTTTATCCTGTAGATAATGAAGTCGATATATATGCTAGTTGCATAATATACTTTTTTTTTTAAATGCATAATCAACTGTTTTCCTGCCAGTGGAGGCTGGTTTTGTTTTATGAGCAGAAAATTAGATCTGGTTTTAGGGGAACAAATGTCCATTTTGTTCAGGAGATATCATATGTTGTTTTTTTTTTGGCTAGTGTCACTATGGTGCAGTGATCTTTACATGCATTATGTCTGAGTTAATATGTTAATCAGATTTGGTAGCTGTTTCTGAACTAGACATGAAGTCACTACAAAAACATGGATCTTGATTTAGAGATTTGACAGAGACGTCCCTGTTTACAGTTGTGACTGCCTCTTCAAACTGAAGTGAAATATATAGTGCTTATGGAAAATGGTAGAACTTTACATCACGTATCATTTTATAATGTTTCTAAGGAAGTTGTCTGACAGTCCTGCCCTGCTGTGGTCAAAGTGCCATTAGGACCGGAATCACCAGTTTTTTGTTTAATGTCAACAGCTGGCAACTTTTCTGATCTGCCTTGTCAAGCTTTTAATCGTCACCCTGAACATATGATCCTTCCTGAGGTCATCAGCTGTCTTTGCTTGCAATAGCACTAAATTGCCCACGTTATGTGCTCTAAGACCACCGAGCTCAACTCACAACCAGACAACTCTTTTACAATGTGCATTTTTTGTTTGTGACAGCAGAACCAGACTGAAAATGTACAGCGATCCATACGCTTAAATGGTTGCGTAGGATTATTATTTAGGATCATGTAGATCTTATGGGTTGGGATTAGATAGGAAGTGGTCCCTTACAGGGGTGATGTGGAAAACCCCCAAAGGAAGCTGTAAGACACGGTGGTAACTTATTTATCTCTCCCTCTGTTTGTCCTTCCTTTCATCAAAGAGAACGTAAGGGAGAGAAATGGTTGTTCTCTGTCCTTTTTTTATTCATTTTTCCTTTATGGCTGTGTGGGGTTTTGTGAGTCATACCATTTAGAAAAAAAACTTTTTTTTCAGGAGCTGTTCATTGAATAAAATCTCACACAGCCAACTTTGTGTTATTGTGACTTTTTTCTGGATAAGTGAAGAATTCCTACTTGCTGTATGAACTGTGATCTACATTGTCTATCTCAGATTTGACAGATACACAACAGAGAAATGGCATTACATTTTACTTTGACTAGCAAATGCTCCTATCTAAAGGCAGTGGTAGCTCAAGGGTTAAGACATTGGGCTTTTGATCGGAAGGCCATGAGTTCAAATCCCTGCACTGCCAAGTTGCCACTGTTGGGCCCTTGAGCAAGGCCCTTAACCCTCAACTGCTCAGTTGTATAAAATGAGATGAATGTAAGTTGTTCTGGATAAGGGCGTCTGCCAAATGCCTTAAATGTAAAAGGTAGAGATGTGGTTAAGGGTCTTGCTTGTGGGTCCAACAATGGTTCTTCCGTGTAGCAGGGATTTGAACTTGCATCATTTTGGTCAATACATAGAACTGGAAGTGCTGAGCTACTGTTGTATTAAGCATCGGGTGAGGTAAGAATAAAGAAAAGAACCATTTTGTGCATACACACACAGACACACACCAGGTTAGACCCTAGAGCCTTTTCTGTTTGGACAGATGTCTGGTGTGTGTGTGTGTGCGTGTGTGCAGGTGGGACCTAACCAGCAGGAAGATGCAGGGGCAGTATGTGTTCTGCTGCCACTCCATATCTTGCCTCGTATGGAGAACCACTGCCTTTTCCCTTGCTTTTACTTCATCTTTCTTTAATTTCATGTCAACCTGTCCGAGTCCTTTCTCCATCTCACTTTTATATCCACAGTGACCCTGGCATCCTTTCCTGCAGGTATTATTAAGTGCATAAGACAGCTGACATCTGATAGGTGAAGCATCTTTGCTTGTCCTATTGGAGGAGCTGGAGCAGTATATCTGTGTATTCGGCATAGGCAGAGGTTTGTTAGACGTTATCCTGGATTAAGGAGTGCTGTTGTCCAGCAGGTATAGCGCTGTGTGGACTTAGCTAGACTTTTGTTGACTCTAATAGAAGTCTTGTTTTTATGACTTGTTAGATCTTTCTAGGAAAAACTGGAAAGAGTGGAAAGACACTGCAGCGCGGATTTCCGCAGCATGTTGAATATTTGATAGCTGATCGTGCTCAGAAATTCAGCAGGACAGTAGAAGATTATATGATGTATGACTTAACAGTCATGTCCCAGAGTCTCTGAAGATCTTCATATCACAGTTTGTTTCGATTACTGCTCTGATGAGGTAAATGTCGTACTGTATGTCACGTCATGTTTCTTAGTTTTATTCCTCCTTTACAGGTCCTCTGGCACCTGGATATTTTCCGCAGAAGCTTCCGGCAGCTAACCACACACAAGTGCATGGAGGACTCTTGCATCTTCTGTGCTCTCAAGGTAAAGGCTAGCCTAATTGTGTATCGTTCCCAGTGTTTGTAATCACTATTGACATTTGGTTCATATTCCTGTGTGTTTCTTTCATGCTGGGTTTCTGTACTCTGTGCGGACAAGTGGATATTTGAGATCTGATCGATATTATGTGGGAAGAAAAATGTATTTCAAATTGATCTGAGGCTGTAGGGTTAGCTTTTCGCCCAGGTTTAGATTTCTTACGTAGAAGCCTTCTCTGTGTCTTTTATACATACCACTTATAAGACACACATGGCTAGGGAGGATGAATAAATTGGTTTATTTCTTTCCTCCTGTCACCATCACCTCAAGCTCACTGTGTCGTCTTTGTGTCTGCAGTCTCTCTGACTTTAATCACATTCTGTCTAATGCATACAAGAATCAGCTGTGCTTTCTATCAAAAGCTCAACAACTAGAAATGAGTAGTGTGCCATCTCAGTAAGACGTATGTCTACCTGTATGCGCCGCAGTACTGCTGTGTCTGGGTCTACCTGTTTACTGTCTGTCTCACCCATGGCATGTTTGCTTCTTGCTGAATGAGCCCCTTCTCTGGTCAACAAGCGTGGAGCTTAAATTAAATATAACCAGTCAGTGTGCAATCATGTCATGCATCACATGACATCATATATGTTTTTGTAACGTGTATCTAGTCTGCTAGTGAACTGGATTACATAACAGGTAGCCTAATATTAGAAAAACACTTGCCTCCTGGATTTAAATACACAATACAATGGCAAGGCATTTGCTATCTTCTAAGACACTTTTTCCCCCAAAATATTCAGTACGAAACCATTTAGTACACAAAACTCTAAATGTGAACATTATTTTCAAAGGCATTCTCTATTTATTTATTATTTAATGAATATGTTTTAAGCAATATGATCCCTTTATAAAAAAAAAAAAAGGTGTTCCTATTATCGACATACTTTCACCCATTATTGTCATCTATTAGCAAGAAAGATCTTGTCTACTTTCAGTCTAAAAAACATGCTGCAAATTTAGAATTCTGTATTGCTGTTTAAACCTCAAGCAACACACTGACTCATAAGTAAATAGTAAGTAAACCCATCCTACTTGTATATTAATTTTCGCAAATATGGACATATAGTTACACACCCCCACAGTTTGAAGTGTTAATTAAATGCAGAGTTTGAGTTTAAGATTTCACAGCTACTCACGAGCAAGCAAAAGACCAAACACATTAGCTTGCTAACAGACTTTTAATTATGCAATACAGTAGCTTACTGAATGTTAACTAGCTTGCTAGACAACTTGGCTACTGATATAATTTGCATAGTAAAAAGGTTTACCTTGCACTAGCTAGCTAACTTGACTTGTTATTTAAGCAATATTGCACAAGGGATGAGTGCGGTTATACTGAATATCAGCACGGCTGTGTTTCGGCTGTAGCTATAGGGCGAGTGCTGTAGCTAATCATAGCCGTGCCAATATTTCGTATAACCGCACAATTGCGAGTGCCAAATTGCTTTTATACAACAGTTCTATAAACAAGAAATTAATATCAAGTAACTGACATTTCATACACAATATGGCAAAGTGTTTTGTTTATTTTTGCTCCGCTAACGGAAATAGATCCCGAAGAAGTCACACTCACTTTGATTTGTATATTTCCATTAAAAGTGCTTCCGGGAAAATTGACTTCCCTTCTTCCTTTTCATCTTCATCTGACGAGCTTTCATATTTTATGTCAGAACTTAGTCAGTATTCTTGAAAAGTATTGCTGGCCATGTCCGGTGATGTCGATAACACTACTGTAGTAACAGTTTTGAGCTAGGAAGTGGAATTTTACGTGGCGAACACAGACGAGCGGAGTGATACACACAGTGAAACCTCCCAGTGTGGTTATAGGAAATATACACACTCTTGGAATGTCGCTCGACCGATCAAATTAGTGAACCGGAACTAAGTGTTGTATAATTAACGTTAGCTTGCCGCTTCTGGGGAGGTCCACTTATCGTTTTAACTAGTTAGTTGGAACTCTTAGCTAAACCACTGCTGAACCATTATATTGTGTAAATGATCCAGGCCCTTCTGCTAAGTGGAACATTTAGCCAAAGAAATAAAAAGAAACTCTAGTCATGGTGTGATATGATCTGTGTTTGCTGTTAGCTGAAAAAAAAATTCTAATCGAGCCCTGCCCTTGTTGACGTATGTGCTCTTAACTCGGCAATATCAGGGCGTATGTGATATGTATACCTTTTGTCAAATATCCCTTATCACATGCCCTCTCATTAGGCATATTATTATTTTTTTCAATCAGTGTGTAAAAGGTGTGTATACAGTGAGGAAGGCTGTATCTTGGTGACTTGGGTTCCTTTTTCATTAATACGCACCATATGAAGCTGTCATGCACTGATTATAGAACACTCTGGCTAAGATGTGTGTGTATATATATATATATATATATATATATATATATATATATATATATATATATATTTAAATTTTTATTTTTGCCAGTACGTATACATGTGAAAATGTTATGCAATATGTTGTATAAGTGTAATTATGATGGCTGCCATGGCTGCAATGAATCAGGCCAACTGGCAACATCCAGAGACAGAGGGAGGGAAAGAGAAAGAGCCAAAAGAGATAGAGATAAAGATCAAATGGAGTGAGAGAGAGCGAGAGAGAGAGAGCGCGCTGCAAACATGGTCACGTGTTCACTCTGCATGCGCAAGCGTCGAATACAGGTTTACTTATCCAACTGTGTTTTCACCAGGTAAAACTTGGCAGTGGTCAGTGTTGTTTTTATCTCACTGGGCTGAGGAACAGAGTGAGGACAGATTAATCTCTTAGTGACTTGGCAGTCTTTATTCTCCACACATCTGTTCTCCTCTTGTTGATTTGATCTATAATTTGCAAGGAAAATGTAGCTAAGCAGATTAATGAGCTAGAGTCTCATAGTAGTAGTGATGATTTTACAGTTTTTCTTTCTTTTTGCAGAAAGTCTAACTACCTAGACCAGTAGCTCTATATCTGATAAATGCATATATTTGTTATAGATAGTATTTTTCTCTAATGTGTATTGTTGTGTTGTTGCAGAGCATTTTTGTGCAGTTTCAGTACAGCACAGAAAAGGTGTTGCCCTCTGACGCTCTGCGTACGGCTCTGGCCAAGACCTTTCAGGATGAGCAGCGCTTCCAGCTGGGGATCATGGACGACGCTGCTGAGTGCTTTGTAAGTGCCCTTAAGGCTTGGATGATATTCAGGAGTAGGTTACTGTTGAATCGATTAAATCATACTCAATCCATATACATCAATTAAACATGTTTATAAGAAAGGAAGGTAACTTAAACATCAACCATGTTCTTTAACAGACACAAGTACTTGCTTTCTGAATCAACATAGTCTGAAGAGTGCAGGGATTAACCTGACCTTAAGGGTTTTCTATCATATCAATCTCAAATCATTTTTGGAATGGACATATTTGTAAAAAGTGTGCAAGTGTGGGGCAAGGTCATAATAATGTGGCTTTCATATAACTTGTGGGTAATTTACCTCTGCACATCCAAACAAATTATCTCCAGAAGGATGCACAGCAAAGATGTGAATTTCCACTGCACTGAGCTCCGAAAAGTGTGAAACCGAAAGGTCCGTGTATAGGGTCATATAAAGTTCAGTTGCTTTTATCCTGGATTGCTCTATGTGGCCACTAGGAGAGCATTTGAATGTCATTTTTGTTGCTAATATGTCCATACACCTAAAGAGCACAGAAAGGAAGCATACTGAAGCAATAGAAACAGTAATACTACATGTATAGTATATGCACATGCACACTATATGGTCAAAAGTTTGTGGACGCCTGACCATCACACCCACATGTGG